GTTTGTATGTATATATGTGTGCGTATGTGTGTGTGTGTGTGTGTGTGTGTGTGTGTGTGTGTGTGTGAGTGTGTTTGTGTGTAAATCTACGAGTACATGTGTGTGTGTGTACCTTTGTTTTGTTTGTTTGTTTTGTGAGGGTGAGATACGCATCCCTATAGACAGACCAAGATGCTTGATTTTTTTTCAAAATGGCTTCCCCTCTCGAGAATCCAACACGCGTGTTCTGCGTCCGACAGTGAAAAGACAAAGCACTACTTCTCGGACGTTGGTCAATACTGTTAGGAAGTATGGGGGAAAAGAAGAAAAACCCAAAAGATAAATCCAGAGCCTCCACTGATTTGTTCCTTCAACTGTTGTATGTTGAGTAAGTATCAACCATCTCCACCAAAGCCGCCAGTCGAGTGTTTTTTGTTTTTAGAATTTTAACCAAATCCACATACTTGAATTCTGATATCCTAAACCGTGCACTGTCGTGGCGTCTATCTTTGCTCTCCCTAAAAACTTCAATCTCTTAAGTGGTCTACGCACTATGGGCGCGCTAATAAAGGGCAAAACACCAGTCTCATTCGGCACTTACATGACCTTATTGTGTTGCAAGTGTTGTAAAACTTTTACCAGAACAAACAAACGAAAACCCCAAAACGCCAATCTCGTTATAGTCATTGTTTCCTTCTTTCTCCTTCATTTGCTTCCAATTAGGTTGATATGGTGCGCCACATGGTGAGCCAGAATTACCTTAGACGTGCAATGTTTACGATATTACAATACAAGTTTCTGACTAAATCTTTTTATGTAGATTCCCCAGCGAATGACAGTCCTGTAGATTCCCCAGCGAATGACAGGCCTCGTTCTGAAACCAAGTTGACGCACGAGAACCCGACCTTTAACCCCTCTGATTCTGATGGAGACGTCATATGGAGATATAGATAAATGTTGGATTATTTTGTCGTTCGTCTGTACAGAACAGTTGAATTATATCGTCCGTGTGATTCCCCTGACGTGTGAGTCAGGAATGTTTCGAGTTTCGATTTTGATTTATTTTCCTCACAAGGGGATTCTCTGTGAATGCAAGAAGATTCCCACTCTTTTTCTGACAGACCTGATTTCAACCATGTGCTAAAAAAATAAAGACTCTAACCATCTGACTAAAGAGGAAAAAACGTTTTATTACGATAATAAACGATTATTTTGATAGATTTCTTTTTGTGTGTTTTGCGAAAGCATCCAAACAGAGAAATGAGGGGGCAATCCATGATCATTAGCGTTTGTTTCAGACTTGACGCTTCATGACGATGATATTGAGATTTACGTGTTTAGAGAAATACATCCTTGATACTTTAATTTTTGCTGTTCGAGACATTTCACCTTGCATTTGCTCTACATGTTACTTAAGCTTAGTTTGTGTGTTTGTGTAGACGTGCACACTTTGTGATATTTTTTACGAATGTTATGTTGAGAACTTTCTTTCAAATAACTCGAACGCTTATCATAACTTGTTTTGATTTTCGAATTCCTAAAATTGAGCCTGTTATTGACATAAATTATGGAATACTGAATGTTCTATTGGATTTCCGAAATTGACGTTGCTATTCATATGAATTGTCAAAATGGATTCTGCAATTGCGGCTTCTTATATTTACCTTGATACGTTTTCTGTTGGCAACAGTTGTTGCTGGTTTTGATTCTGTATGGCACACTGGGCTTTAAAAAAAAACTTTTGAGCAAACAACGATAATATGCTAAAGCGGTAACTTTATTGTATATCACTTTTTGGAGCTTTTTCAAAGTTTACGCTATGATTTGTTTTCATTATTATGCTGACGAACTGAACGTTCAGGAATGACCAGTTGCCTTACTTTCAGAACTTTGTTTTTTCGGGGTCCTTGCTCCCACGTCCGTCTTTATTGCTGTTTACCATGTTTTAAGAACTTCTGCTATGAAACTGATACTGCTTTATAATTATACTTTACATGAACTTTTGAGAAAACTTAAAAAGCGGATGAAATGTTGCTTGGAAGGTTAACTACCTACCCTCAACGACTTTGCAGTAACTAAAGTTGTGTGTGCTTTGTGGGTGGGGTGGGGGTGGCGCTCGGCTCTCGAAAACAAGAGAGATTGTGCTTGGTATGACTTCAGTGTGCATTTCTTGAAACTGTTTAAGATCAAAAACAGCTTTTCCAACATTGTTCTAAAACTCAGACGTAGTTTGGAAAGTGGAGGATT